ACACACACACACACACACACACACACACACACACACACACACACACATTGCATACTCCAATAGCACTGACACTGAGTGTGCTTTTTGTCATGTTTTACTCCAAGGTTATTTTTGTAACCAATCTCAAGCTTACATCTCATTTTACCTTCATTTAAAAAACCTGCAAAGGAATAAACGAGGTACTGAAAATGTTGGCATTCTTTAATTTTACACAGAACCACAGTGTAGTCTATCTTGTCCCCGTATGTCGAAGTGGATAAGAAGACACATTTATTAAGGTTGAAAAATACAATGATAAATATTACGAGCAAGTAAATACTCCTGTGATTTTCATCACGAGAAGTTTATTCTGAAAAGTGAAAGGTAATCATCTTTGTGAGAAAGGCAAACCAACCATCAATACTGCCACTCTCTTGTGACACACTATTTTGTGGAAACATTGCTGTGAAGGACATTTATAAATAACTAAAAATGACGATTCAACCTTTAGATGATAACATTTAGAAAACAGGGTAATGTTTTGTTCTGTGAACCGTCTAAAACCTAAGTTCCTCAACTGAGTAAAATTGTTCCAATAGTAAACTAGTGGCTAAAGTGGGTATATTTAATAAGAATATTCTTCAGTGCCATGCAAACCAGTTCTTTAGTAAACTTATTCAAATCCCACTAAAATGATATGAAACAAAAATACTGTTACACAATGGAGTAGGAACCTTTTCGATGCAGTWTCAAACAATGAACTACAATAAAAAGCGATGCAGAATAAAAGAATGAAATAAATGTAGACTGTTGTTACAGTTTTTTTTCCAATTCGTTCCCATTTAGGACTTCTCATGCACACCTCTTTTTTTAAGGTCCGGTTTATACTAGCGTTTTCTCTGGAAATGTTAGAGGGTGTTGTAAGATGAGGTGTGTGTTTGGTGAAAATGTGCACAGACAAGGAGGGGGGAAAAGTGTATTTTATTTTTATCTGGAAACCGTAAACAAAATCACACAAGAGCTAAGCAGCTACACGGTACTGTACGGTAAACTGTACAGTAAACGGCTGCATGTGGGCACAGGGCATGCACAGTGGAACTGAATTTACAGTAAAGTTTATGTTACAAAACTAGTAAATATGATTATACTTAAAAATTTAGCTTGAAATCTCACGAAGCGGGAGAGAAAAATTGACGTTCCTTACTGTATTTTCTGTTTTCATAATATAACAGGGATTACCAATTATAGTAGTTTGGTTCTATGAAATAATCTGCAAAAAATCTGAGTCCACAAACTGTGAAACACAACTTTGTGGGGTGCATGTACAAATGTTTGTTAAGGAATTAAATAAATGTCATAGGCTGTCTAATGTACTGAATATTCAGGAGTTAAGGAACAGAAGCAGCATATGAATAATAATKTTGAACGCAGTGCAGATACAGATGTTGTTTTTTTATAAAATGATAACTGACCTTTTTGAAAGGTTTTGTTTCTCCAACCCTTTACCCAAGTTAGGCTTTTTCTCATCCTCTCCATCTTGTTTTTGGTCTGCCTTCTGTGAGATGATTGAAAAAGAAAAAAGAGTGACAAACAACAGTAAAACAATTTAACTTTAAAACACAAAAAAGACAAATTATTTGTAAAGAGAAATAACATGGTAAAAAGCTACAAGTGTTGTCAAAAGTAATAGAATCTGGTCTGTTTATGTCAGTATCAATAGCAACATTAGTGTAGTCTCTGATAACTCATTTTGTTCATTGTGTAATTTATTTTGGAAACTAAATCTTACAAACCCAAGCCCAAACCATCCTTTTTAATATTTTTTCTCCTCCAACACTGAAAATGGTATAATGTGTTGGTTTCAAGCTACAATCCGTGATGCTACATAGGACTCTAAGCACCGTACTTCATCATCATCATCATCATCTGACAATGACTCAATGTCACAGGGCTTTAGAGTGCGACCGATTTGGTCACAAACACAACCTGATTTCCTAATAGTGCGACTAAAAAAAATGTCCGGTCGCACTGGTGCRAACAATCGTTCGAAGGGGAGGAGGAGCGGTCGCCYGCTGAAAAAAAAAGTTTCCATGTTCCATAAAAAATAATCCAGCAGTATCAATGGTCGCCCACCGACAGTCTCATCTCTCCTAATAGCACAGCGCTCTGCTCACGGCTCCGCTCCACACCTCCCCTGCACACACGTTTGTTGTTCTATCCTCATGGGGACTTTGCATTGGCTTCCGTTCATTTCCCCATCAATTCTATAGCCAACCATAACCTCCCAGGTAGACTACACACCTGACCCAAACCCTAACCTCACCAGGCTGTGTGTACCGGGGAAATGGTTAATAATTGTCCCCACCATGAAGCAATAATCTGTACATACACACACACGCGCGTGCGCTCATGCATAGCGAAACAACAGTAGCCTTTTTTTTTTTTTTTTTTTTACCCAGATCGGAGTCTGAAAAACATTTCTGTCTTGTTAGCTGGAGATGAAAACAAGATGTGGAC